GTGACGTCACAAGACCGGCCACAAGATGTCGTCTGTATGGAGTGGGAGTGACGTCACAAGACCGGCCACAAGATGTCGTCTGTATGGAGTGGGAGTGACGTCACAAGACCGGCCACAAGATGTCGTCTGTATAGAGTGGGAGTGACGTCACAAGACCGGTCACAAGATGTCGTCTGTTTGGAGTGGGAGTGACGTCACAAGCAACTGTCCTGGTTCTCCTCCTCGGGCAGTTTGATGATGGGGATGTCGTGGATGGACACCTGCTGCATCTGTCGCTGGATGTAGCTCAGATCGGGAGACTTTCCGGCCAGTCGGGAGGGGGCCCACAGCGGGGCGGGGGGAGGGAGGGGAGCCATTGCCTCCTCCACCTCGTCCTCCTCCTCCTCGATGCTGTCCTGAGGGGAGATCCGGCGGGCGGAACTGGCGCTGCTGTCACTTCCCAGACTGGCACTGCGCATGCTCGGTGCGAGCCTGTCTCTCCGCGTCGACCGCTCCTCGCTCAGTGTAGCCGGCTCCGTGTGCTTCCGCTGTAGCCGCTGTCGGTGCATGCGCGGTGACCTCCTGACCCCTAACCTCCCGGCAGCTTCACGAGATCCGGGGGGAAACTCTTGCCTGACAAACTCGTTGAAGATAGAGTTGGTCTTTTCGTCTATACTGTAGTCCCGGACCAAGTAGTGAGTTCTGTGGCCGCGCGGGTGGGACTTGAAGAAACGCGCGAACACAGAGATCTTGTTGGGGATGGAGCTGTCCTCAAAACTACCACCGGAATGTAGGTCAGAGCGAGAGTCGGTCTCTGGCTCGTTCATGCTCTCGTACACGTGCACTGTCTGTCTCTCTCGAGAATATTCTCGCCGCTTCTTGGACGCCGTTTTCCCGTTCCTCCGGTCAAAGTAAGAGGTGCTGGGAGGGGAGGGTTTCTTCATCCCCCCGTTCTTCTGGGCTATACCTCCCGCCCCGCTGTTCCGTCGTTCTCGATAACCGCCGGAAAATCCCGACTCCACAGAGGCGGCGCCGACCGCACCCACCGCCACCATCGCACCGGAACTTGACGACATGGCCTCCCCGCAGTTTTTGCACACGTCTTTGGTGACGTCATCAGCGCGTTCAACACTGGCGCGGTCAACACTGGCGCGGTCAACACCGGCGCGATTTTCACGCCGCGGCTCTTTCGCCAAGCTGGAGATACCGTGCGTGGTCCCTCCCCCTCCCCCTCCTCCTCCTCCTCCTCCCTCCCCCTCCTGAAGCTCCTTCGACATCTGCTGCTGCGCCTCCAAAGACTTGTAGCCGCTGTCCGCCTTCATCTGGCGGAGTTTGCTGGCCTGGCTCTCCGTGGTGCTGTCTGTGTTGTCCGTGGTGGTGGTGGACTCGAAGGACGTGGTGGTCACCTCGTAGCGTGACGTGTCAGACACCTCGCCGTCTGTCTCCACACTGTCAAAGCTGTTCTCCACACTGGTCGACTGGTTCCCGCGCTGCAGGCGGTTATTGAGCACGTTCCTGTAGCTCTGTCGTCTGTTCTCGTAGTTGGGGTGGAGCAGGTTGGCCTGGCTGGGGCGCCTGGGTGTGGAGCTGCACACTTCAAAGAGGATGCCGCTGTCCTGATGGTCGCTGGGGCACGGGTCGCTCTGGGCGTTAGACTCGAAGGAGGTGGTGTTGGGGGTCACGTGATCTCTGTCCGGGGAGTCGTCCGGTGACGTCATGTCCTCCATGCGGATGGTGTCGCTGCACTCCTCCTCCTCCTCCAGGGTGGCGCGCAGACGCCACAGCGCCTGGTACTTCCGGTTCCCGTTGATGGTCTCTGCGCTGTCCTCCGTGTCCTCCGAGTGGTCCTGGTCTCTCCGCGACTCCCGCCCGCCGCCCACCGCTAGGTCAAGGTCACTGAGGTAGTCCCCCTGGTCCTCGTTCAGCTGCTCCAGACTTCCGGTGTCGTTGTATCTGACCTTCGACCCTGTGGGGGAGCCCAGCTCGGAGATGATGTCGAAGTCTGTGTTGTAGAATGGACCCTTGGAGAACTCGGTGATCTTGAGAACGTCGTGGTCCTCCAGGAAGTCTTCATAGCTCTTCACCTTGCGGCTGTCTTTGTACTGCGCGTGCCGAGAGGGCGTGGCCGACTCCAGGCTGTGTGAGTACACCGTGCGGTTCTGAGCTTTGATCTTGGACAGTGGGACTGTCCGGAAGTACAACAACGCCGGGTCTGCGCATGACCGGGAGCGATCTAGTCGGCCGGACAGCTGTTGGTGTTGTTGCTGTTGTTGTTGTTGCTGTTGTTGTTGTAGTTCCTCTGAGCTGTTCATGCTATGGCTGATTACATCGCTCCCGTGTTGTTGTTGCTGCTGTTGTTGCTGCTGTTGGTGTTGTTGTTGCTGCTGTTGGTGTTGTTGCTGGTGGTGGTGGTGATGGTGCACCTCAACAGAGACATGAGTCCGCACGGGTTTGTAGGGCGGGGAGGGAGAGCTCCCGACGAAGTCTTTGATTGGTCGGAAGGGGGAGGGCGGGGAATCTCTGCTGCCTACGTCACGCGTCAGCAAAGATGGCGAGGTGCTGAGGCCTTCTCTGATTGGTCGAAACGGTGGGGACGGTGACGTCATGCAGGGGTCTCTTATGTAGGTCAGGGTGGGGGAGGGGGAGTTCTTGGTGGGATCTCTCATATAGGTCAGGGTTGGGGAGGGGGAGGGGGACGCCTTGCTGGGATCTCGTATGTAGGTCAGGGTGGGGGAGGGGGAGTTCTTGGTGACCTTGGAGGGTTTGTAGCCCGAGTTCGGGGATTCCCCCCGTGGTATATCCTTGGGCGGTCTGTGCTGCTCCAGGCTGGGACGGGGACGGG